CCTGTTCCCAGAGTTCACCACGGTCTCTTGCCGCCCCCTGCTGGGCTCTTCGCGTCAGGCTTGCAGAGGGCTGCCGCGCGGCCGCCGGGGGGCGCAAAGAGGGCGACGCCACCGCTACGCAACCGGAAGTTAGTCTTGTTCATTTCCGCCTCTCGGCCCCGCCCCAGGCTGTAGAGGCGGAAGTAAAGCCATCGTCCGAGTATTAATACAGTCCAGGTTGAGGTCTGTGGCTGGCTGCACTTTTGCTCTTTATTTTAGAAGTGGGTCTGGGCGATTTTGATGTATGGCGGAGTCCCCTTCCCGTGCAGCCCCTTGGCCAGTCGGTTTTGGGGAGGAAGGGGGAGCGGGAGAACCCATGGAATGGAACCCGTGTAAAATCTGTATTAACTTAAGCGAGCTAATACGAACTTGTGACAGAGTTCCGCCTTTTTCCCGATTTTCTAATTTTAGGAATAATCCTTACCTTCTGAGTTGTGGGGCTGAAGTAAGACGGTATATGTGAAGCACTTAGCTCCGGTTTTACAAACAATGCGTGATTACGCCACCTTTTCCCGTTAATACTCGGGCGTGTTCTTGCCGTTTTACTCTCGGTATCTCTGAGAGATGCTTAGTACATAAGCGGTGACGCTTTTCACAAGAACGTTATGCGGTGTTAGCTGGGATTGATTTCTTTATTCTGTATCACGAAGTGCTGACAATATTTTGTCCTCCACCCCCCCGCCTTTTTTTTTTTTTTTTGCCATTTTTAGGGACAGCTGTTTTCCAGCTCTTCAGGAGAAATGGGACATCCTAAGACAAATTAGGTGAGAAATGGATTGCTGTAAAGATCTCCAAACTTCCCTTGTTTTATCAAAAGACCAACTGGAATGTAGTACCCTGGCGCAGTGATTAGCTATCTCCATTAAAAGTCCCTTTATCAAGGGAGTGCAGCAGAGAACAAGGAAATCCTCTTTTATTCCTCAGGCCTTACAAGTTATGAGTACAGAGGTTTTCAGTGTATTTGTTAATTTTGGACTTTAGTCCTTGGAATAATGGTTAAATTAAAGAGTGAACTGAAAGATTTAAATAAATTATGGAATATTATTTTTGAAATTTGTAGATTGAGACAGTTGATACTTTTTGCATTAGGTTGCTTATATACTTATTACCTTGCTAGATGTTATAGGAATGTTTTGAATGTTGATCAGGTGCTTAACTTTTTTTGTATTGAAAACTGAAAAATTGATAAAGGTCACATATTTCCCAGTACTTTTTGCACCCCTAAGCCAATTTAATTTGTTCTTAATTTATCTGGTTGCAAAATAACATGTTTATTAAGTAGTATCACAGTATTTCGGGAACAGTACATAGCCCCCATTAATCTCTCAGAGATAATTCTTACTGCCTTTTTACCTTCTTTTTATATATTAATGTCCCCCCCTTATATAAGTGATATTATTTTATCTGTACTGTTATGTGGTTTGCCACTTAGAATATCTTGGATATCTTTCCATTGTGTTAGATATGCCTCTCTTTAAAAAAGTCAGGTTGTATAGCGTTAATATTACACAGATGTATCACAGTTTATGAATCATTCTGTTGGTGGGTTTCTTCTTTTCTGCTATAGCAAATAATGTTAGGATAGTCATCCTTTTTAATAACAAATGTGTATTGTCCTTTTATTTCTTCTGGATAATTTTAAAAAGGTGAAAATACTGGTTAAAGGATATGGTGGATGGTCCCCAATTCCCTTCCAACAGTGGTATTTGAGAATTTCCTGCATTTCCTCACATGCTCATCAACAGACCGCAAGCGAGAGAGAGCAGGAGAGGGGAGGGGCGGTGGGAGAAGGAGAAGCAGACTCCGCACTGAGCAGGGAGCCTGATGCAGGGCTGGATCCCAGGATCCTGGAGCTGAAGGCAGATGCTTAACTGACTGAGCCAGTGCCCCTGGTTTTAGATTTTTTAGTAATAAGTGATAAATGATTCACTTCAGCAGTATTTGTTAAGTTAAAGATTTGTGGGAAGGTAGTGTTTGAATGAGACCTTGTACTATGGATAGATATGGGAGGATGGGCCTTTCTGAAAGAATAGCTTCCACAAAGGCAAGGAGACAAAAATGGGCAAGAATGTTTAGAATTTGAGGTTTGAGAGGCAACAATGCCTCGTGTTGTGAGGTGGTAGACTAGAGCAGATAGCTAGGAAGGTAGTTGGAATGGCGTGGTGAGAGTGTTGAGGGTGAGTGCGAAGATTTTGCTTTCTAGGGGAGAGCTATAGAGGTCTTTAATCAGGGAATAAGGGATGTAATCACTTCTTTGTTTTATAGGTATGCTATGGTGGCAGTTTTTCATGACTGATGTTAGAGAAGCAGGTTAGGTGGCTGTTATAGTCTGGGTGAGGGAGAACAGCAAAGAGTAGAGATGCTAACAAAGATACTGAGGAAGCTGAATCTACATGATTTAATGATTTTGGGGTTGAGGAAGAGGAAGAAAGTAATCACTTTTAGATTTTTATCATGAGTGACTATTACGATCAAGTGGTAGTGATTCCATTCATCAGAAGAGGGCTAGTTTGGGGGCTGGTAAAGATGTTCAGTTTGGTTTTAGACATGTTAATTCATGTGGAAGATATTTCCGCAGCGAGCGAATTATACATAAGACATGGATTCAAGACATAGATTCAGGAGAAACCTTAATAGATATATGACTCCTTTGTGAAGAAATTTGGCATATATTTTTACTCTTAGTCTGTTATTAGTACAATTCCTTTTGAACTTTCTGTGGCTTGCTCAGCCTGTTTGTCATGGTGCTAATCATCTCAAGAGTTTGTTGTCTAGAGTAGTTGTCTTCAGACTTTTGACTGCGTACACTCTCAGTAAAAAAGGTTTCATACATGTACCTCCAGTGTATGTATATTTACTTCCTAATTATATACATGTTTTACAGTACTATTATATTGTACATATAAAACACATAAAATGGAATTTTTAAAAGGCTAAGACAGATATAAATTAGAGTGTCACTGCTTGCTTCCTATATCCCATTGGATCATCTTTCACCCCTATTCCCAAAACACGGGTCTTATCTACCACTGTCAGTGTTCTGTACCATTATCCAGTAGAGGTCACCCTGCGTATCTGGAAGAGAGAACAGATTGTTGAGCTCTGCAAGTAGAGCCTTCATTCTGTAGTTAGAATGAGGATCTTATTTTTCAGTTTCTAAATTCATGCATTTTTGGAAGAAGATGTTAAAGAGTAGTTAAAGAGTAGTATGTGGAATTATGGAGAAATACAGAATAGTGAACTCAGAGTATGGGGCAATCTAAAATGTGCTGCTGTTTGATGTTTATTTTGTGAGTGTCTTGCATTTTTGTTTGAATGTTATTTGATACTATAGTTTGGGAATCTTTTTCTAATTCTTTGAAGATCTGTAGATTACCTGAGATATCGGAGAGTTCCCTGCCTGTAGGCATACTCTTAAATTCTTGTTATATTGGTGTAATTAAGGGATGGATGGCTGGCTCAATCGGTGGAGTGTGCGACTCTTGATCTTGAGGTTGGGAGTCGAGACCCACGTTGGGTGTAGAGATTACTTAAAAATAAAATCTTAGAAAAAAATAGTGTAGGGCAGACACAGAGAGGCTTTCTTTGACACTGATCTTGAAAGCAGTATCTCAAGCCCAGAGATATTAGTGGTGAGTTGGAACCATCTATTTTTATTTTTTATTTTTATTTTTTAAGATTTCATTCATTTATTTGTCAGAGAGAGAGCACAAGCAGGGGGAGCTGCCGGCAGAGGGAGAGGCAGCCTCCGATTAAGCCACCCAGACGCCCCTATTTTATGTTTAATTGGAGAGGTGAGAAGGGAAATGCTTCCTTTAAGTGATAAGAGCCCATTGTTAGTAATTAGCAATTAAGAACTAAGTTTGTCACAGCTATATAAAGAGGAAAAAGTACAATTAAGAAATACATGTGTTTTATGACTCAGACCACAATTAAAGAACATAAATCATCTGACAAATTGAATAACAGAAGAAAATTTTTCTGTTGCTTTCCTGATAAAGTATTTCCCATAAATGCAGATACTTATTTTAGTAGGTACCTATGGTTATTATCATATATAAATTCACACATTTTGGGCTCCGTTTTTAAAAGATTAGGAAAATGAGTTATTGAGGTTTTAGTCACTTGCCTGAAGTTATGTGTTGTGAAACAGATGCAGAGAGCCCTGGGTTCATCTTTTATAACATGGCAGGGTAGAGGAGGATGGTGAAAGTAACTCTTCATTGTTTATGTGCTCTCAGCACAGTTCCACTGTGTGGATTAAAGAGTGCAACTAGATCATTTTGAAGATAAAAATTGGTTTGGAGTAGTTGGGTTACAACCCAGGGGGTAATAGGGTAAACTGAAGGACATGGGATTGAGATTGGGAACTGTTGACCAGAGGTGTATATAAAGCTAAGAATTAAGGCTAATGATAGCATGGGTTTAAAGAGAACCATGAGTCTAGAAAAAGGTGTTTAAGGTGGAAATTAGATAGTCTGAAGTGTTGATTTTAAAGGCTATATTTAGAGTTTGAGGAACCAGGAAAAGGGAACAGGGGCAAAGTAGTCTGGTAGCTAAGGCAGAGGCAAGGCCAGAGATCTGGGAAGGTGGAAGACAAGGTAGAATTGAAAGCATTGGTTAGTAGGAATAAGCTAGAGGTTTGAAAACTAGGAGGATAAAGCAGAAGTAGGGAGGGTCAACTGGTTTTGGGTAGCAAACACAGGCAAGTCCAAATATAAAGAGCAAGATAAAGGCAGGAATAGCTGTGGATCAGTGATGATGCTTATAATGCTTTTCTTCACATTAAGAATGGAAGCAGCCCCAGGCCCACAGATAATCAGAAGCAGTGAACTAGAGAGTGGGAGTGCAGTGGTTGAATTGTTACTGCAGCACCAGGAGAGCTGGAGCTATACATATTTTCTTATAGAAATGACCATGATGCTTATAGGACCTTAATATGGTTTTTAGCTGTTTAACACATGCATTTGTATAATATTATGTATGTTGTTTTACACAGCATTCCAAAAGTTTTGGGATACGTGACCATTATGGCACCAAGAAACTTCTTGTGTATGAGAAGTAACTTTCTCTTTGGTTCAAGATGTTGGATGATCCGATTTTCAGCAGAAATCCTCCTTAAATCAGTTTCATTTAGGCTTTTTAGTGTGAAGTGTGGTAATGCAGACAGGGAGTCTTTGGAGAATGAAGAATTACTGAATAACTTACTTACAATGGGAGTAGACATTGACATGGCGAAAAAACGACAGCCTGGAGTTTTTAATAGGATGGGAACTAAAGAGCAGGACCTGAAGATGTTCCTTCTGTCCAAAGGAGCTAGCAAAGAAGTGATTGCTAGTATCATATCAAGATATCCACGAGCCATAACACGCACACCTGAAAGTCTTTCAGAACGGTGGGATCTGTGGAGAAGAATTATGACATCAGACCTTGAAATTATAAATATTTTGCAACGTTCTCCTGAATCTTTTTTTCGGTCCAATAATAACCTAAACTTAGAGAATAATATAAAGTTCCTCTCTTCAGTTGGATTGACCCATAAATGCCTTTGTCGATTATTGACCAATGCTCCACGTACCTTCTCCAACAGCCTAGATCTGAATAAACAGATGATTGTATTTTTGCAAGAAGTCTGTTTGTCTTTGGGTCACAATAAGCCCAGAGATTTTGTTAGGAAGATAATTTTAAAAAACCCTTTCATCTTAATTCAGAGTACCAAACGGGTAAAAACTAACATTGACTTTTTACAGTCAACTTTCAATTTGAATGATGAGAAGTTGCTTGTTCTGCTCTGTGGTCCAGGAGCTAAAATTCTAGACCTTTCCAACGACTATGTCAACAGAAACTACACAAATATCAAAGAGAAGCTGTTTTTTCTTGGGTGTACTAAAGAAGAGATACACAAGTTTATTTTACGCTATCCAGATGTGATCTTCTTGGGAGAGAAAAAGTTTAATGATAAAATAGACTGCCTCATAGAAGAAAAATTTAGCATATCACAAATAATTGAAAATCCTCGGATTTTGGATTCAAGCATAAATACTTTAAAAAATCGAATCAAAGAATTGGTAAATGCTGGCTATAACTTCAGTACATCAAACATCGCTCTTTTATCTTGGAGTCAAAAAAGATATAATGCTAAATTGAAGAAGTTAAACATTGAATAGAACAATGTTCTGGGAAATTAAAAAGTGTCTTAATGTAGTGATACGTCATTTTGAATTTGGGCCTTTCAAAAAGGAGAATTTTGGTTTCTTAACCATATATACATACATAACGATCCTTTGGATATTTTATTTTAAAGGTTTGTAAAAACTCATGGTCAGTATGTTCCAGTATAGTCTTCCCAGCTAGCTACCTTTTCTCTAGTTTGAATTAATACAACATCCGGTTATATGCTATAGGCTGTGACTGTCATATGAATAGTAGTTCCTGAGTGCCAGGGTGGAACAATATGTAGAAAGATAGAAAGTACAAAATAAGTTTTTATGGTTTCTGTTCAGATTAAAAAATCAACAGATTCATTTGGACAGTTCTGTTTCCTCTCGGGGTTTTGAATTGCAATTGATTTTTCCTGTTATAGCCACATACCTAATTGTGGTTCATCTTCAAAGTAGAATGCCAGTAAAAATCTGACAAACCAAAAAGGAGGGCTTTTCATCTCAAGTTCTGCATTCTTCATTTATACCATTAGTATGTTCCCCTTTCCCTCCAAGGTAGGCTCAATTTACTGTGGGTATATCCTGATTTCTTTAAAGTCAATGGCAACTATGATGGGCAGAAAAATGGCTACCCAAAGATGTCAGTGTCTTAATTCCCAGAACCTTCATGTTCTGTTACACTGGAAAAGGATTTTGCAGATGTAATTAAGTCAAGGACCTTACGACAGGGAGATTATCCCAGATTATCTGTGTGGGCCCAGGGTTATCATATGGGTCCTTAAAATGGAAGAGGGATGCGATGTAAGGACTTGACCCTATTTGGCTTTGAAGGAGGAAGAGACCATGAACCAAGGAATGCAGGTGGCCTCTAAGAAAATGGAAAAGGCAAGGAAACATTCTCCCCCTGGTGCCCCCAGAAAGGAACACAGCACTGCTGGGACCTTGAATTTAGCCCACTGAAACTTGTCAAACTTCTGACCTACAGAACCATAAGAGAATAAATTTGTGTTGTTTTAAGCCACTGAATATGTGACAATTTGTTACACAGCAAATAGATGAATATAGCAACTAAATAGTGATTAGTTGCATTATAGGTGGAGGAGTCACAATATATGGTTCTTTTAGTATATCTGTTTTTCTTTTCTTTTTTTTTAAATTACCTGTTTTATCTGCATACCTTTCTGGAATGACTAGCAAGTTTGTAAAGGCCTCTAAATGTCTGTAAAAAAATGAAATGTAAGTAATAAAATCTAAATAAAGGAATATTTTTACTTAGTGTAGTTTAAAGAAATGGTTATAGTTTCTGTATTTTTTTTTAAAGATTTTATTTATTTATTTGACAGAGAGACAGTGAGAGAGGGAGCACAAGCAGGGGGAGTGGGAGAGGGAGAAGCAGGCTTCCCACTGAGCAGGGAGCCCAATGGGGGGGCTTGATCCCAGTAACCTGGGATCATGACCTGAGCCGAAGGCAGACGCTTAACCAACTGAGCCACCCGGGCACCCCTAGTTTCTGTATTTTTATATTTAATGGGCATTTTATCTAATACAAATAAAGAACAAGGAATTTGTAGATGCACCGACTTAAAAAATGACAGATGAGGTGATGTCTGTATTTTGAAGACATTCATGATCTAGCTTTGATACAAAGAGAAATGACAAATTATATGACCTTAATTACTTCCAGTTGTTTTCCAGAGACTTGTTTTCTAGATGTAGATTTTGAATTAAATAACGGTGCTAAACCTTTGAAGACATTTCCTAAGTGATGCCTCAAAAAAACTTTCTCCTGCCACTGATAGAAACAAAATGCCTGTTTTTTCAAGGCCATTTGATGTCAATGATACTTAAACTTACTGCCAGTACACTATTTGATGGCAAGCATGGCATGGTTAAGAAAACATTGGCTTTAGAGAGATACTTCTTTGGAGTGATGTATCTGGGCATCATTCCTGACCAGCTCTGTATGTGTAAATATTTCAATTTCACTGAACTTGTTTTCTCATTTGTAAGATTAAAAATTGACCTTGCAGAGTTGGCAAAAATCAGGTAACATAGAGTCTATAAGTCTTTTTGTAGGTAGTAACTGTTAATTGACAGCTATAATAAAGTTACAGTATTTTACAAAACAGCTTTATTGATACATAATTTACATATAACACCAAATCATTCAATTCAACATACTATTTTTTAATTCATAGAGCTGTATAATCATCACAATCTAATTTTAGGATATGTGTTTGCTCCCTAAAAGAAACCCTTTGTCCATTTGCAGTAAATTCCCATTGTCCTCCCCCTTCCCTAGCCCTAAGCAACCAATGATCTATTTTTTATCTCTCTAAATTTGTTTATTCTGGACATTTCAAATAAATGGAATCATACAATATGTGTTTTATTTTGTGACTGTCTTCTTTCACTTAGCATAATGTTTTCAAGTTTTGTCCATGTAGCACATATCAGTATGGTGGTATTATTGGGAATAAATATTGTTATTGTTAGCCAAGTATTAGTTCCCTACATATTCTGAATTTTATGGGAGTATTTTCGGAGTCATTTCTTTGGAATCTAACAAGTTTGTAAGGAACTTGAGGGAGGTGGGTAGCAGAGGAGATAAAAGATTATTCGGCATCAAAACTGGACAGCTACATGCAAAAGAATGAAAGTGGGCCACTTTCTTACACCATATACAAAAATAAACTCAAAATAGATTAAAGACCTAAATGTGAGATCTGAAACCATTAACTCTTGGAAGAAAACATAAGCAGTAATCTCTTGGGTATCAGCCTCAGCAACATATTTATGCATATGTCTCCTTAGGCAAGGAAAACAAAAGCAAAAATAAACTATTGGGACTACATCCAAATCAAAAGCTTTTGCACAGCAAAGGAAACCATCAACAAAACAAAAAGGCAACGTGAATGGGAGGGAGATTTGCAAGTGATATATCTGATAAGGGGTTAATATTCAAAACATATAAAGAACTTAATACAACTCAACATCCAAAAAATAAAACAATCTGATTAAAAAATGGGCAGACCACCTGAATAGACAGTTTTCCAAAGAAGACCTACCGATAGCCAACAGATAACATGAAAAGATGCTCAACATCACTAATCATTAGAGAAATGCAAATTAAAGCCACAATGAGATACCACCTTACACCAGTCAGAATGGTATCAAAAAAACAAGTGTTGGTGAGGACATGGAGAAAAGGGAATCCTTGTGCATTGTTGGTGGAAATATAAATTGGTGTAACCACTGTGGAAAACAGTATGGAGGTTCCTCAGAAAATTAGAGAGATAGTAATATTCCATAACATTGTATGGTGACCATACTTACCACAGTGAACATTGAGTAATGTATAAATTTGTTGAATCCTTGTTGTACATCTGAAACAAATATAACATTGTATGTTAATTATACTTCAATTAAAAAAACAAAGTGTTGATGGAGAGGAAAACGGGGTTATGTGTCATGAGGATTATACCTATATATGCTGATATACTACCTCTAGGATCAATATATGAAATTAAATATCTGTTGAGTTGGGGTGGATGGCGGGAGCAAGCGTAATTTTAATTGTTAAGCTTTACATCCAGAAATTATTGACAATCCCTTCTCCAGTATTTGCTGTATTCTCTTCATGTTTATGGTAAATAAAATATAAAGGAACATAAAAAAAGAGGGGACCCCAGGCATATATAGAGAGGTGTATGTGTATAGATATATATGCTGATCCTTAACTGGCCATTATTATACCTGAGATGGCAATAGGTAATTGAGCAGCAACAGCTGTGGCCAGTGAGAAGTGGGATGCACAGCAGTACAACATAGCACATCTTTGGAAGGTTGGGGAGGGACAACTTTGTAGCAACAAATGGATAATGCCTGTCAGGCAAGATTAACATGTCATACTTTTAAGGTTTGAGTCTGAGGGAGAGTCAATTCTTCTTTTAAAATTTTATAAATTATAAAAATTATATGAATTTAAAAAATTATAAAATTTTACAAAATTTTAAGTAATATTTTTTCATGAGTAAAAATAAAATCCATGTTTATAATGGGAAAAATGGAAAAGAAGTGAATCACAAAAAAGAAGAACTATAATCTTATCTCCCAGAGATAATTGGTTAGCATTTTGGTGACTTTTCTTGTGTTTTTTTTTTTCCCCCCAGAATATATCCAGGAGTAGGTATGTGGCATATATATTCAAACTGAGATCAAACTACGGTTTTTGTGTTTTTTTTTAAGATTTTATTTATTTATTTGACAGAGACACAGCAAGAGAAGGAACACAAGCAGGGGGAGTGGGAGAGGGAGAAGCAGGCTTCCCACTGAGCAGGGAGCCTGATGCAGGCTCAGTCCCAGGACCCTGGGATCATGACCTGATCCGAAGGCAGACACTTAATGACTAAGCCACCCAGGGGCCCCTGAACTACGTATTTTTTTTTTAAAGATTTTATTTATTTATTGACAGACACTGAGAGGGAACACAAGCAGGGGGAGTGGGAGAGGGAGAAGCAGGCTTCCTGCTGAGCAGGGAGCCTGATGCGGGCTCGATCCCAGGCGCCTGGGATCATGACCTGAGCTAAAGGCAGATACTTAACGACTGAGCCACCCAGGCACCCCTCAAACTATGTATTTTATAAATTGCTTTTTAAAAAACCTAATAGATCCTGAATGTATTATTTTTTAGTAATCAATTAATTACAGAGTCAATTAAGTATTCACCTGTAACAAATTTTAACGTTGGCATGAAATTCTGTCATTTGGATAAACCAGAATTTCTCTAGTCAGTCTCTCACTATTAAACAGAGTGAGTAAATTTTAGTATATTACTAAGTTTTCAAAAAGGCCCAGATTAGTTCAGTATTCCATCGCATTATACATATTTTTTTAACCATTGGTATACTTCATAAGTTGAAATTTTGCTCTAGAAAACGTGAATGTTAAGACTGCTGCATTTTGCTGTTCTCCAAATGTCAGATGTATCTGCAAAACTTCCTTTTTAAAATGGAAATTATTGGGGC